GCTGGGATTACAGGCTTGAGCCACCGCACCCGGCATGGCCCCATTTCTATAGAAGTAAAATGCTATCTTCGATGAGATCATCTTATCCTTGTTTTAGGGAAACCCTTTGGGCAACACATTCCACAGGTCTGAAAGACTAACTTTTATTGCCAAGGAATGCTGTCAGCCAACTACAGTACTTACAAAATTCAAGTATGTATGACTGTATGCCAGCCAGTACTGACTAACAGGTCATTCATTCTTTTGAGATGTAGAAAATAGCAATGCTCAGATTTAATAAGATTTTTAAAAATACATTTTAATAGGTCCTTATTTCAACACAAGCTGAACTGATCAGCTGTAGTAGGATGTTTGAAAAACAACTGTTGCCACTCAGTTGATATTAACAACTCAGAACTGTGTATTGTTTTTTGTCTTTTTAGATGGAGTCTCACTCTGTCTCTCAGGCTGGAGTGCAATGACGAGATCTTGGCTCAGCAGCCTCTGCCTTCCAGGTTCAAGTGATTCTCCTGCCTCGGCCTCCTGAGTAGCTGGGATTACAAACATGTGCCACCATGCCCGGCTAATTTTTGTATTTTTAGTAGAGATGGGGTTTCACCATGTTGGAAACTCGAACTCCTGAGCTCATGATCCGCCCACCTCAGTCTCCCAAAGTGCTGGGATTACAGGCGTGAGCCACCGAGCTCAGCGAACTGTTTTCTATGTGTTGTTTTTTTTTTTCAGGTTAATGATATCAGCCAAAATCTATGTTCTCCTAACTGTTCTCAAAGAAATGGTCTTACAAAAAGAATAACCCAGCTGAGCACAGGTTTACGCCTGTAATCCCAGCACTTTGGGAGGCAGAGGTGGGCGGATCACCTAAAGTCAAGAGTTTGAGACCAGCCTGACCAATATGGTGAAACCCCACCTCTATTAAAAATACAAAATTAGCCGGGCATGGTGGTACATGCCTTTAATTCCAGCTACTCAGGAGGCTGAGGCACGAGAATTGCTTGAACCCGGGAGGCAGAGGTTACAGTGAGCCAAGATGGTGCCACTGCACTCCAGCCTGGGCAACAAGAGCTAAACTCCATCTCAAAATAATAATAACCCTACTTTTACTTTTCTTTGCCTAAATTTTTATCAAATATTTTGAACAGGAGCCACATGTGTTTCTATGCTAGAAGAAAAGCATAGAAATAAGTAATCATACCCCCTAGTCAAATTTAACTATCCTGATTGGTAAGAAGGGAGGGAGGGAGGGAGGGAAAAGAAATTAGCTAGGCGTGGTGGCACCTGTCTACAGCCCCAGCAACTCGAGAGGCTGAAGCAGGAGGACTGCTTAAGCCCAAGAGTTTCAGACTGCAGTGAATTATGACAGCCTGGGCAACAGGGCAAGGTCTTGTCTCAAAAAAAAAAAAAAAAGAAAGATAAAGAAAAAAAGAGGCCGGGTATGGTGGCTCACGCCTGTAATCCCAGCACTTTGGGAGGCTGAGGTTGGTGGATCACTTGAGGTCAGGAGTTCAAAACCAGCCTGGCCATCATGGTGAAACCCCATCTTTAAAAAGAAGAAAAAAAAGAAAAAGAAAAAAGAACACACCTCACCAATTTTGAAATGTGAACAAACTGCAAATAAAGCAATAGTTTCTTGGAAGTCATCACTTTGCACTGAATTAAGCATGAAACAAACACTATGCACTTCTTAAGATGATGATGCTCTGGATTTAAGTTACACATCCTATATTCTAAGATCCTAGTTACTGAACTGATAAGTAAGCCTGGACCTGGGGGGAGGAGGACTAATCAGAAAACTGAACCCTGCATTCCTTCCCTTTGGCTGACTTATGCAAATATAAGAATATTTAATTGATAAAGGATAACAGCACTTATAAGTAAGACTGTTATATTGGAGATATGTTAACTTAAGTCCTTTGGATTAAAGGCTAAAACTCAATTTTACCTTCATGAATTGATTAGAGTGAAAATTACTGGGTCCTTTGGTCTTTTTTAAGAGAACTGCGGTGGCTACCTGGTAGAAAACAATTCTTAAGTCGCACAACCTCAAAATAAATTAAAAGTGCTGACCCTTGAAAAGGATGTTTGAAATGCTTTGGGAAAATGCACAACAGTTTAAGTAGTAAATAACATTAAGCCATTATAAATCAGGACAAATATTAACAGACCTTCCATATAACTTCTATGTATCTCTTCAACTTCAAAACGCCCTTTGCCTACAGCACTCTGGGCAAACGATCTGGGGAAAACTAAGATCTGTTTTATCGGAGCTTTTTACCTTCTACCCAGAAGAGTTAGTGTTTCTTTAATTCTGCCATTACACAGTACTTAAAGACATCCAAAGCAAGTGCAATAATACAACTCCATGCTACGTTTAAAAAAAAAAAAATCAGTAAACAACTCACAACTCACAATATTTTTAGTCAGGAGCTCTGGAAGTAAGGGTATTTTTGTTTCTTCCATATCCTCTGAGATTGAAATGTGTTTGCACTCTTAAGTCTGAATACCTAAACCTTCTCTAGGGAGAGAGAGATTTTATTCCAAATTACATTAACGCATTTTTCTACAGATATTAACGTACTGGAGATATGCTGTTTCCTGCTCATCAGGAAATTAAAATCCCTTTCATTTACATAGTTTTTTATATCGCTTTCATATATATTCACTTGAACGTGTACACGACACAAACATATAACAAATTTAGACTTATCAGGCATACAAGATGACCCTCAGCCAGAACTTACTCAAACTTAACTTACTCGATTTCACATCGTCTTGATGCTAACAAAATTAGGCAGGAGCACAATGAAATCGGTACCACTGCCAGTTCTCAACGAACAAGAAAACCAAACTCGCCCATTTCCCAAAGGAAAAGTACTCACAATCATATAATCGCAAAAAAAAGAAAAACAAATCTAAACCATACATTCACCTGAATCTTTTCAACTCAGAGCTCCAAACGCAGCCGCCAACCACACAACTGCCCACAATCACAATCACAGTGGTAGCGCCTACTCTCAATTTTGAAGCTAGAGACTTAAGAAAAACACACACACACCAAAAAAAACAGTTCTCCAAAGTTTGACAAAGTGGGGGAAAAGTCATTTTAAGTAAACACAACGATTTAATCAAGAGGCGACGAGCCCAGTCCTTCCGCCCCGCTTTCCCGCTTCCAGCCCTCGAACGAACCCTCCTCTAACCCCGGGAGGCAGGAGTTCTGGCGGGGAGATGCGGAAAGCCTCAGACCAGCTCGCACGCCGCCGGAGACGCAGGGGCCGAAGTCGGGGAGACAAAGAGCAGCCCGCGAAGCTGCCGGGCGGCCCGGCTCCGCCCTGCGCCCCTAACCGCCCGGGTAGTGGTCGGCACCGAGGGGGCGCCGCCGAGTGCGCGTCGCCTCTGCCCGGGCTCCCCGACAGTCCCCCGACACCGCCGCGGCCCGGGCCGCCCCCGAGCTATTGCCCTCTCGATTTGGGAGCCGCGCGCCCGGGGACAAAGAGGGAGAGTGCGCCGGGGGCAGCGGCAGGACGCGGGCCGGCGACGCCCCTCCAGACTCGGCGGGAACCCCTCGGTGGCGCCCCCCTGCTATCCCCAGCTCCGGCCGCGCTCCTCCCCGGACACCCGGGGTTCTCCTCGGCCCCTTTCCGGGCTCCCCACGAGTTAGTTCTCCCGCCTCCCCCTGGGACCCCGCCCCTGGCCCGCATCTCCTCAGCCGGCCCTGCGGCCGCCCCTCACCCGGCGGCGGGTTCCCCCGGAGCCGCCTCCTCCGCCGGGCCTCGGCCCGTCCCGCCGGCCGCCGCCTCATGTGCTCTGCGTCGCCATCGCCTTCGCCTTCACCCTCGCCTCTCCTCCGCCGCTGCCGCCTTCGCCTTAGTCTCCAGCCGAGGCAGAAGCCGCTCCCGCCGCCGCCGCCTCCTCCCGCTCCCGCCGCCGGGACCCGCGGGAAGGCGCCTGCGCACTGCGCGCTGCGGTGGGGGCAGGGGCGTCCCACCGCGGCCGGAGAGCGGGGGGCGCGCGGCACGTGGCGCTCGGGTGGGAGGGGGCGCCCCGGAACGCGCGGGAAGCAGTGCTAGCGCCAACTTTCCGCGGACAAGTTCGCGCGCGCTCCCAGATAGTCCCGGACGTGGCGGAGGCGCGGCGCGCGTGGGAGTCACCCGCGTGGAGTCTGGAACCCGGGTGGGCTCAGACTTCGCTCGGGGCAGTTCATTCCTCCAGGCTGATTCTCGGGCGGGAGTCCACCGCCAGCCGCGCCTCAGTTAGAGAGGGCCGCTAACGGCGTCGTGGGCTCTCGTCTTACCTGGGTGTCCTGTGTTGGCTCAACGGGCCCAGAGTTGTCTTCTGCGCGCTCCGCCGAGGCCTTGGTCTAGTGTAGCACGGGATGCTGATGTCTCCTTGTAGGTTCTGCTCTGCAATTCCTCTAGGATTTCGCGGGCGCTGGGTGGATAAGCCACCCTAGCGTCTTTGAGTCAGGCCTCTTAGAAGGGCTCTAGATACTTTTGAGGTCCTGAACTTCTCAGATTAGCTAGACCCTAATTGGCTATTTCCTCTTAACTCTTTGCATCCCTGCCGGATCCCATTCAGGGAACTTGTGAAAATTTTTCATGCATAGGAACCCCCAGTTTTAAAATGTCCAGTAGAAAACCGAAAATTATCCAAATGCTTTAAGTAGAGTGGGACCTTGGGTAGTAAGGGAAGGCTTAGTAAAGAGATGGGCGAACTCTAGAATTATCTCAAAGGAGCATCAGAATGCGGAAGGATAGTCTTTAATTTATCCCTTTTGACCAGAGGGGAAATTAAGCGCTAACAAGTGAGGTTACTTGCTGCAGGTCAAACTCCCCCACCCAAAGCCAAACCTTAAGAGGTAGCCCGAGAGTGGAAAACTTGAAGGCTAGGCATCTGATGCACTGACCAGTTTTGTTTGGTCAGTATGGTGTTTTCCAAAAATATGGATTAATTGCCAAAATATTAAAATCCAGACTTCTGGCCTCCCTAAAGAGTCAAAACGCACTTACTTTGAGCTTCTCTTTTCACATGGCAGCTCCTCCAGAGTCACCTTGTCCGGGTAGGCAGTGTCCCCACTCAGCTGCTTAAATCATTTCATGACCTGCTTGGCCTCAGAGCATTTAAGTACTTCTCCCAGTGATTGCTGCAGTCTGTCCCCACCCCTTATCACATTGCCTCTCTACGGATGTTTTTAAAATGACAAGCGTGGGGTGGGCACGGTTGTTCACACCTGTAATTCCAGCACTTTGGGAGGACTAGACAGGCGGATTGCTTGAGCCCAGAGGTTCCAGACCAGCCTGGGCAATACGGCGAAACCCCCATCTCTACAAAAAGTACAAAAATTAGCCGGGTGTGGTGATGCGCACCTGTGATCCTAGCTACTGGGAGCATGAAGTGGGAGGATCGCTTGAGCCCGGGAGGTCAAGGCTGCAGTAAGCTGAGATCGCACCACTGCACTCCAGCCTGAGTGACAGTGGGACCCTGTATCAAAAAAATAAAATGTGAAAAAAATAAAATGACAAGTGTGAAAACTCTGAAAATACATAGAAATACGAACATGTAACTAAACACTGGAAACAACATTGTACCTGTTGACTAAAATATGAAAACCCTCAGCCTGCAACTACAAACTGGTACAAATCACTTTGTTCTTGTTTTTTGAGACGGAGTCTCTGTCCCCCAGGCGTGAGTACAGTGGCATGATCTTGGCTCACTGCAACCTCCGCCTCCCAGGTTCAAGCAATTCTACGTCAGCCTCCGGAGTAGCTGGAGTTACAGGTGTGAGCCACCGCACCTGACTAGTTTTTGTATTTTTAGTATAAATGGGGTTTCACTGTATTGGCCAGGCTGGTCTCTAACTCCTGACCTCAAGTGCTTATCTGCCCGCCTTGGCCTCCCAAAGCACTGGGATTACAGGCGTGAGCTACCATGCCCAACTAACTTTGGAAAACTGTCTGGCAATATCTACTGTTGGGGTTCAGAAAATGATATCCCAGGGTGTGGTGGCTATAGTCCCAGCTGCTCAGGAGACTGCAGTGAGCTATGATTACGCCACTACACTCCAGCCTGGAAGACAGAGCAAGACCCCATCTCTTTAAAAAAGAAAGAAAGAAAACAATATTCCAAAGTATGGAGCTTTGGCATACTGAGTGCTTTGAACTAAAGGAGATTGGAAGGCCTCAGAAGCAAAGTCTTTCTCTGACCTTCTCCTGCCCTCCTGTCTCCCGCCCCTTTCTCCCCTGAAGCGAGTCATAGAAATAAAAATTTCTCTTCCCCAAGGCAGGTCATAGAAACCAGAACCCCTCTCCCCCAAAGCAAGCCATAAAACCAGAAAGGTCACTCTCCCCCTCTCTCTTCCCCCTTAAAGACCCTCATTCCGAAGGAACCAGGAAGGAATACCCTGGAGGAAGGAATGTTATACTGGGAGGCCAAGAAGAATCTGAACAGACAAGCCTTGTTGGGTTCCCCAGTCAGTCTGTTACATTGAATCATACCCCTTTTATCTGGTCACATTTCTACATGGCTTGTCCATTCGGCATTGAACCTAAGCATAAAAACAGACAATTGTCCTTGGGTCTTGAGGGTTTTGTTTTTTGTTTTTTGTTTTTTTGAGGCAGGATCTCTCTCCATAGCCCAGGCTGGAGTGCAGTTGCGTGATCTCGGCTTACTGCAACCTCCGCCTCCCAGGTTCAAGTGATTCATGTGCCTCGGCCTCCCAAGCAGCTGGAACTACAGGCTTGCACCACCATACCTGGATAATTTCTTGTATTTCTTGTATTTTTAGTAGGGACAGGGTTTCCCCCTGCTGGCCAGGCTGGTCTTAAACTCCTGACCTCAGGTGATCCGCCTTGCCTCCGCCTCCCAAAGTGTTGAGATTACAGGCGTGAGCCACCGCGATTGGCCCTTTGAGGTCTTCATTTCTTTTCTTTTCTTTTTTTTATTTTTTGAGACAGGGTCTCATTGTGACAGCCAAGCTGGAGTGCAGTGGTGTCATCTCGGCTCACTGCAACCTCTGCCTCCTGGATTCAAGCAATTCTCCTGCCTCAGCCTCCCAAGTAGCTGGGACTATAAGCGCCCACACCATACCCGGCTAATTTTTTTGTATTTTTAGTAGAGATGGGGTTTCACTATTTCACTATGTTGGCCAGGCTGGTCTGGAACTCCTGACCTCGTGATTCATCTGTCTCAGACTCACAAAGTGCTGGGATTACAGATATGAGCCACTGAGCCCAGCCCTTTGAGGTCTTCATTTCTGAAGGCTCTTGTGTTACATAAAACTTTGGTTAAATAACTTGGTTATACCCTTCTCTTGTTAATCTGACTTTTGTTATAGGAGTGTCAACTGTGACCCTTATGATGGATGAGGAAAGGTATCACACCTTTCCGCCACTACACTACTAAAGCTGAATACACTATGACTTTAGAATTCCATGGAAATTCCATAAGGTGTACAAATGTTCACCAAAATACTTGTACTAGAGTATTCAAAGCAGCACTATTTACAATAGGCCAAAAAACTAGAAACTACCCAAAATGCCTGTCAATGGTAGAATGGCTAAATTGTGTTATGTTTACATAATAGTACATTACACAGCAATGAAAATGAACAATCTACATTTACATACAAGTTGGATCTCACAGAAGTTTCCATTTACAAAAAGTCCAAAATCAGGCAAAACTGGCAGGTGCAGTGGCTCACACCTGTTATCCCAGCACTTAGGAACGCCAAAGTGGGCGGATCATTGAGCTCAGGAGTTCACGACCAGCCATGGCAACATGACAAGACCTTAACTCTACAAAAAATACAAAAATTAGCCAGATATGGTGGTGCATGCTTGTAGTCTCAGCTACTCTGGAGGCTGAGGTGGTGAGGTGGGAAGATCACTTGACTCGGGGAAGTTGAGGCTGCAGTGAGCTGTGATTACACCACTGCATTCCAACCTGGGTGACAAGGAAAGACCCTGTCTAAAAACAAAACAAAACAAAAAAAACAAACAGGCGGGGCACGGTGGCTCAAGCCTGTAATCCCAGCAATTTGGGAAGCCAAGGTGGGCAAATCACCTGAGTTGGGAGTTCCAGATCATCCTGACCAACACAGAGAAAAAACCCTGTCTCTACTAAAAATACAAAATTAGCTGGGCATGGTGGTCCATGCCTATAATCCCAGCTACTCAGGAGGCTGAGGCAGGAGAATTGCTTGAAACTGGGAGGCAGAGTTTACGGTAAGCCAAGATCACAGCATTGCACTCCAGTCGGGGCAACAAGAGCAAAACTCAAAAAAAAACAAAAAGAAAAAATGAACAACAAACAGGCAAAACTAATCCATGCTGTTAGAAGTAAGGATAGCTGGCCAGGGGCGCTGATGCCTGTAATCCTAGCACTTTTGGAGCCTGAGGTGGGCAGATCAGCTGAGGTCAGGAGTTCGAGACCAGCCTGGCTAACATGGTTAAACCCTGTTTCTACCAAAAATACAAAAAAGTAGCCAGGCATGGTGGCACAAGCCTGTAATCCCAGCTAGTCGGGAGGTTGAGGCAGAAGAATAGCTTGAACCCAGAAAGGGAAAGTTGCAGTGAGCTGAGATCGTGCCATTGTACTCCACCTTGGGCAACAAGAGCGAAACTCAAAAGAATAAGGATAGTGGGCTGGGCGAGGTGGCTTACACCTGTAATCACAACACTTTGGGAGCTGAGGCAGGTGGATCACCTGAGGTCAGGAGTTCATGACCAGCCCGACCAATACGGTAAACCCGTCTCTACTAAAAATACAAAAATTAGGTGGGCATGGTGGCGGGCACCTGTAGTCCCAGCTACTTGGGAGGCTGAGACAGGAGAACTGCTTGAACCCGGGAGATGGAAGTTGCAGTGAGCCGAGACTGTGCCACTGCACTCCAGGCTGGGTGACAGAGCAAGACTCCATCT